GCTTGCTGTAGTCTATTCTGGCGGGGGACAGTTTTTAATTATTTATTTATTTGGATTCATTATTTTTATTTGTTTTTGCTTATTTATGCTTATTTTTATTAGTTCTAATGGTTATTTTAGGGGGGGGGGCAGTTATTTGTTTTTTATTTATTTACTTATTTTCTATTTTGTGTATTTTTATTTACTCTATTTGGTTTTCAATTTTTGAGTGGCGTAGTAATGTTTTGATTTTTGTTTTTTTTTATTGTTACATGGCAGTTATAGTTATTTTTACGTCCAATTTTTGGATTGGTTGTTGTAGTCTATTCTAATGGTTAATTTGAAGGGATTGGTTTGTTAATTTGTTTATTATTATTTACTTTAGCTGCAATTTGAGTGAGCATCTTACTGTTTTATAATATATATATATATATATATATATATATACACACAACACACTAAGCTAATCTCATCTGTTTTGTATCATTAAAAATTTATAGTCTGCAAGTAGAGATAGGTACATTGTCTCCACACTAAATGACTCTCCCCTTCCTACTTGTGCTGATGTCTTTCTGGGAGAATTCAACAATTTTTCCTTTAAATTTGTCAAATCCATTTCATATAACAATTGAAAAATAGGAAACCCTTAACTAAATTGCTTGTAATGTTTTTTCAAATTTATATTTCAGAAAAAAATTATCTTAAATTGTTAATTAAAAAAAATGTTTTTTTTTCTAAATCTTTTGGTTGACTTTGTTACTGAGGAGTCTTTTTTTTTTCTTTGTAGGTAAGTGACGATTGGTGAAATTTTAGACATGTTTTCCATCAGTGTCCACATTCATCAGGTGAGAGTGAACATCAATCAATTAAAATTTTTAATTTAATCCTCAGATGTTTTTTTCATTGAAAACCTATTTGAAAGTAAGCTTTGTTTTATCAATGTTTGTGAATTATGTGGTAATTTTACTTCTGTGAAAATATAAGCCAATTTCAAGACAAGCCATATTTTTTTTAAAATTACCAATCCCATTCTTTTGGATGGAAATACCATCATGTGATTTAAATATGAAACTGTTACTCTACATTTATACTTGAACACTAACAGTTCTAACCTTCATAGCTAACACCTGCCATGCTGTGCACATTTTCGTGAACCACTCATTCCCTTTATATTCCATTGGTGAGATGTAAGTTCCACTCAGACAGCTACGTTTTGGAACCAACTCCCAAAATTATGCTTCCCTAAACACTACAATTTTAACCTGTTCTAGAGTGATCTGTTATCTTACCCACATATCCTCATAAACTGTGCCCCTTATTTCTTACTCTGTAACCCTATAACCCAAGTGGCTCTTGGGCTTTGTACAGGGAAAAAATTATTGTAAAAAACAATAAACAGCTGGCAACAAGTGAAGCTGGTAATATGGCAGCCAGTGAAGAATAACCTGCAAATTTTAATTGACTCATTGAACAACCTATAGCTCTGTTATAGAATAAAAAATTCTTCAATTTTCATAAATATTGTATTATTTCATAGAAATTTAATTCCACAAACTGGTTTCATTTTGTATTGGGAAGATTTGAAAGTCTGCTTTGGACTGAGATTGTAAAAGGAAATACTTCTTTTGTGTAGCTGCACCAACTGGCTGAATTATCTTGTTAAAATTATTGGCCATTTGCAAAGCCAAATTTGATCTGTTCAATCCCAGTAGGCAACCAGTGTTATTTTTTAATTATTCAACATAAATGACTGAGTAGGCATGTTCCTTTATGTTAACCATTCTGATTGGGAGAAAGTTCTAAAGAATCCTTAGGAGTAACAAAAAATGTAATTTACTATTCATTCATATTGATAGGAATTGATGCAGTAATTATTATGGTTTGAACTGTATTGCTTAGTCATAGTATTTCAGTGTTATTTCACTAACAAATTTAGATAAATTTAAGTCACAGGAATAAATTGAAAATGAGAAAAAAAGCATTTATTATTTGTAATTTTAGAGACCCTCATGAAATATTTTGTTGAACAGATAAAATGATTAGAAAATAAAACTGTTAATATGTGGCATTAAAGAATAAGTTGATTGGTTTTTCAATAGCCAAATGATTAAACAATTTAAAGATATTGACTCTTTAATATTAAACAAAATATATTTTATCTTTAAAATATTTTTGTAGCTTTCAGAGTAAAAAAAAATATGATTATGTTCAGTTTTACAATATTACAATGTTTACAATATTTGCTTTTTAATTTCCAAAAGATTATTTAAATATACCTTATCTGTAAAGTCACTTAAAAGAATTTTTTTTTAAATCTTCATGGTCTTACTAAATTTATAGTAAATTTTGTATAGATTTTGTTGGCATTAGTTATGTGAATTTTGAGCAATTTTAATTTTGATGAAAATAGACAGGATATGTTGCACAATCTTTAATATTTAGAAACAATAGAAGGAAAGATTTTTTTTTTTTTTTTTTTTTTCAGATATATTGCATAAATATTCCAAATCTTTAACAAAAATCTCTACTAAATAAGAGAAACCACAACACTTGAGGACTTTCAATAGCAACAACTAAAATGGATGGTGCATATAACTAGAAGAGAAAATAATGATATAATCAAGATGCTGATATTCCACACTACTTTGAACAAAAGGTTAGGAAGGAAACCTATAAATACTGGAAAGAGTGATAACAGTGGACTTGAAAAAACTATTTTCCTAAAAATGTTGTAGATTTTAACTAAAGGTAGCACTGGCTGCTCATTCAATGAATGCTAAGTGTTTTCTTATACAGAAACAGCTTTTAATGAATTTATTCCTAATGTTTACTTTTTTTCTTGATGGTAGTCATCTGTCAATAACATGCTCAGTACTTTTTAGAGATATGTTGGGATCCATCTACACAGGTTTTTGTTGCTATTTGTCTTGGGATTCCAAACATTTGACAAAAATAACACATTTTTTAAATGAAACATGAAAAAGGAAAAGTAAAAGCAGAATGTCAGTTGAAATAACATTTATATATTCTTTTCAGAAATATACAATAACAATAAAGTGTTCAATTTTGCTTGCTGTGAAGTTTGTTTCATAAAATAATTGTTCTTAGAGCTGTGTGAAATGTGTGGACAGACTTATTTTATGACAGCCTAATGTGTTTCTGAGTTTGTAGACAAAGGTTTAATCAGTGGCTGCTGGTTAATCCCTTCTACCTTTGTGGCGGCTGGCTTTCTCTTCCATTGTGTGCGTGGGTACATGTATGTGTAAACATGTAGTACAAACTGGCCTCTGTAATTGTTTTGAGCCTTGAGAAGAAGTATGCTTCTATTTTTATATCTGTAAGGTGACTCAAAATTTTGCACAGATGTGTGAACTTTTTGAATACAAGATTTTCATTGGTTAGAAAATAATTTCACACTGGCTTGTGAAAATCTTTTTCTTGAATTTGTGGAAGTGGTAAAAGGTTATTGTTATTTTCTAAATGGTTAAAAAATAACTCATGGTTGGTCTACAACTACATCCACAAGTATTTTGGCCAAGAAATTATTATTTATCAAACAAACATTCTGATGGATTTCACACTCAGTCTTATGCAAATGCATTAGAGAAGCCTGGTGTATCAGTAGATTAACTTAAAGATGGTCTCCTGGCCACCAGGTTCAGATTTGCATCTTACTAGATGTCAGTGGCTGCCTCTGACATTTGAACTGATGGTCAACAGAGTTCTGCTCTGGATGTGCATGTGTGGGAGAAACCGGATGATAGCAGCCACTATCCTCATGAAAATGTAGAATCCAATTTCAGAGAAACCCCAGAGCCACACATTCACTAATCAATATTAATTGACTAAGTCTGGAGTTGAATAAACAACAATGTTACGTATGAGAGATTTAGTCTCGTGTTTTTGTTAGTTTGTAAGATAATAATGTTACACTAGGATGTAATTTGAACTTGGCTTGGCAATTTCACTTTCCGTGCCAATAACCTACTCTTGGTTCCAAATTAAAAAGTGATCAATAATCACCCTTTATTGGGTCGAATGTAATTCAGAGTATTTCTTTGTATGAAACATTTAGTATTTCAAAAATAGATTTTGTGATCTGATATATTTCATGTAATTTCAAATGAGATGGTGTAATTTTAAACAAATTGTTGAGTGTGGTTTTGAATTTGAATTCTAGTATAAATCAAGGAAACACCATTGTATCAGTTCAGTTTGTGTGTGAAATGCCTTTAAAATCTCTTGGAAGAATCTTGCTATTTTGCCAAATTTCCTGTTATTCTCAAGTCTTCAAACATGGCACTGAACCAACCAATATTTACACTGATTTCATTGTCATCAATATTCATCAATATGATAATTGCCTAACTCTTTAGGGAGTGGCAACTAATCTTCATTGTTACTCTATTTTTTTAATAGTATTTCACTAGTATAACTTGTACTTTTTTTTTAATAATTTCACCCCAAGCAAGGCAATAAAGCCACTAAGACACAGGATGTTACTGTGTGAGAGAGAATATGAGAAGGAAAAAACAGTTTAGGAGAGAAATCAATAAAATTTAGAAGATAATGATTGACATTGATTGAAAAGCAAGAAACCGGAAGAGTTTTACATGCTATAAATGCGAGAGAAGCAAATGTTAGCATAGAACTTATGGTTGCATTTAGCCATTTCAACTCTAAAATGATGAGACATTGCTGCCAATCTAGTAATGTGCTTAAATTCATAAAATCTAGGTACCATAGAGGAAAGTTCATGAGAACAATTACCTGAAACACCTGAATTACATGAAAGTATTTATAGAAAAGGAACAGGGAAGCCATGTTATGGCAATGGGAAAGTGACTGAAGCTGAGATGCCAGGTCAGGATCAATAATATTGTACTGGTAAATTAGTATTGGGTCAATAAGGCTCATTACCATAATTAAGATATAAGGACAGAAAACTATGGAATAAGATTCTGCTCTATTTAGTCAATGACAGCAATAAAAAATGGGTGAAAGACAGAGATAAAGGGCTTACAGCCACATCATGTTGAAACACCAGTTTCCATACAATCACCAAAGTTAAGCAGTGTCAAACCTGGTCAGTACTTTGATGGATGACTGCTTTGGAATACCAGGTGCTATAAACTTGGATATGCAGGTGGTGTAATGGATAATGGCTTGGGATTATTAATTGCAGAGCCGAGTTCCAATTCTAGTTGGGTTTGTTATATTCACTTACGCGCAACTATCCTTCTCTTCCCAGCTATGGGTTAATTACTAAGATTTTTATCACTAAACTATTATTGTCTCAAAAAAAATTGCATACAAAATATTTAGATTTGGACATTAAGTAATGAAGTCGATATGCTACTAAACAAAAACAACCAACCTACATTATGTTGTATAAGAGTAAGTGTTGTTGCTGACATTGTGGTTTGAAACTAGACTGCCAGTGAGTAACACAGGCAATTCCATTATTAAGTAGATGACGTGATCATAAAGGAAGTGAATAAATACAAAGTAGCTTGACGACAATACAATCACTGTTCACTCTTCTTGTCTATCCATTATTGCTATACATTCATTCTCTCTACTCTGCTACTATATGGATTATGATTTTCTTCTGATCATTATACTATTTGGCGATTACTACTTGAACAAGTATTACTAGTGTGGATATTATTGGAGGTGTTACCTACTAGTACTAGTGTCCATGAAGTCTTGAAATAAAGCATTTTTGGAAGTGATAATAAACTTGAACAAAACATAGCAAAAGTGACAAACAAAAGCCGTCCAACATCACAAAACATTGGTCGAACAAACCTTCTATAAGAATTTTGCAGATATAGTTTATATAAATTTTAAGAATTTAAGTTCCTATAACCTTTCTGGTTTATAGAAATTTCTGAACAATGTATTAGAAAAAATTTCAAGCAAATATAAAATCTTAAAAACATGATAACTTAGGTTATATATGTTTTTAAATTTAATTAATAAAACATTTGAAAATCTGACAGACAAATTTTTGAACTGTTATTCTTGGTGAGAACAATTTTAACTTTGTTCATTTCTCATCAATTTTTGTCTGTTGATCAAACTGACATTTTAAAATGCAAAAAACAAATGGTGATTTCTGCTATAATAAAAAAATGTTACAGTTTCTTTTAAATCATTTCTTTTTTTCTTTTTGCTGCATTTGGTTTTGTTGTCTCAGTTTTGGTGCATCTGTTGTGTTAAATTAGGAGGATTTTCTTTAAAAATCCTTGGATTTGATTGGTTTGCCATTTGAAGGATTCAGTGTTCACATGATACAAAATCAAAACAGATCATTACATAGAAAACCTTACTTAGAATGTGGAGGTTTAAATTTATAATTGTATCAGTTTTTTTCTTAATGCTAAAACTTCTTAAAAAATATTTGCCCATAATAAATTCCTTGTGGTTGTTATTTGTTATTTAATTTTTGCATTATCATTTCTATAGAAAAGACTTCAGTAAAAATTTCATTAGTTTTTGGGTTTGGCATTAACTTATTAATTTACACTGTTATATTCAATATTATTGAAAATGAAAATCTATTCTTTTTTACTGGTTTCTAAAAATCTCAAATTTTAGTCAAAAATCTGTATTCCATTAATGCTTTGTCCCATTTTTGGATATTAATGGATAAAGGACATTTTTTTTCAAAATATAATTTGGTTGATTTTCTTCCTTCATTATTTCTTTAAAGAAGTAGCACAAAACATTTCTGGAATTAAAATCTAGTTTTAATACTTTTCATCATGGGAATTTTTTGATCCCATTTTTATAATTAACTTTGCCCAAATATAAAATGACATAAAAAATCTACCAAACTAAATACATATTAATCTGTTGGTTTAGAAAGGTTTGGAGCAGTTAGGGTTTAATTATTCTAATTATTTATTGTCACTACAATGCTAAAAAAGATAATTAATCAATACAATATATCCCTAGATATACTAACAGTGAAATAAAAATAATTTAAGTGAATAAAACTTTCAATTCAAAGTTTCATAAATGTCATCCTGATTAACAGACACCTGATCAAATAATGATGCCAAAATGTGATTGTGATTAAAGAGCTTTCAGTTTGAATCTTTTCCCTGAAGATTACCCTGATCTGCTCCATTCTGACACAATGCATATTTCAATATGACAGTAATAACAAAGATGAGGATATTAGACCAACTGTAAATTATGTAAATAATGATACTCACTATTAGACAGAAATTGATTCTATTAGTTGACAGTGTTTTTTGTTTTTAATCATGTGCCTAAAAAGCAAGGTTTTAAAGCCACTAAGATGCAATGAGTTACTGCACAAGGCCAAAAGAAAATGAGAAACACTATTGAAACCAAAAACAATAATAAAAAACAGGATTCAAGGAAACAAGAAGATGGCACCATTGCATTTAAATATTTGAATTTTTTTATATAGGAAAACAAAAAGCCAGATGAGAGTTCAACATAAAGAGAAGAAAGTGTTATTTAAAGAATTTAAAGTTATATAAGCTAATTTTAACAGTAAAATTGATAGAAAAAAATTCAGATATCATATTCTGATTGGTTTGACAGAAACTTGATTTTGTGATGATTGTTAGTCTTAAAATACAAACTTGGTGTTGGGGGGTGTTCATATTAACCATGACCAACTTGAATGTGAGTTTATCAAAGATGAAACAATTATTTGATTAACAAGCCTAAATAATAGCACTTCATATTAAATTTTGGAACTGATTGTCTTTAGATCTCTTCATTAATTATGGGATTATCATTTGTTGAAGCAAATCTGGGAAATTTGAATGGGCCCTTTTTTTTTAAATGGTTGACTAGAAAAGAATAAACTTGCACTTTGTATGAAAAATAAATGATGAAATGGCAAATAGATCCTTGAAAGTTCTTAAAGTTTAAAAGGTATTTTAGATTCATTTTATTTAATTGTTCATTTTAGAATGATTCTTTTAAAACACGTGCTTTGAAAATATGCATCTGTGTTTAAATGAAACAAACTTTTAAGAAAAAAAAAAAAAAACTGGATTAAAATTTTCTCAGAATTGCATTCCTGGTAATCTTAACTTTGAGAGTGGTATCAAAAGAAGCTCACTGTAATGTTTTGTCATTCCTTAAGAATAAAGTCTTTTTTGCTGAATTACTTCAGTTGATTATGTAGAAAGGGTCATTTAAAAAAAAAAACTTATAATCTTACATGTTTATTTTTCTTCTTTTTCTCTTCCTTAAATTTTTTTTTGTTCAACCAGCATCTTTGATTGATTGTTTTTAATGGCTTATCAATCTTTTGCAGGTTATTTAAAGCCAGAAAATATTTTTGAATTGTAAAACTTTTAGGGAGATGATAATGATTTACTGCTACGTCCTACTATTTAACCCATAGCTTGGGGAAAAGAGGTGGATTCATAACTTTTCCAATTATATTTGCATGTCAGTGAACATAATGAACCCAAATAGAATTCAAACTCAGTTTGTCAATTTCCAATTCTGAGCTGTTATACATTCCACCATTGGCATATCCAAGCTTACATCACCTACTATTCCATAGAAGTCACCTATCTCGGTACTGATCAGGCTTGATATTGCTTAACTTTGATCATACAACAATCAGACCGTCTTTGAAGATATTTTAGTTATTTGTTTGAATGGCACTGGCTCAAGTTAATTAAAAATGTCAGGATGAATAATTAAGAAATTGTATTCTTTTCAAAGTTAACAGCAAAATTTTACTTTAGATATGATTTAGATGAGGACTTTGATACTTTTCTAATGAACTCTAGAGTAATTAAGAGGAAATCTAGAAAATTGTGTCCAAATAATACTTGTATAATTTAAAGCCCAAATTTTACAACAAAAATATAGTTTGTATAGAACAGATTGTCCTCATTGATTCAAATTATTACATCCTTTTCTTTTCCTATAGAAAAAGTCTATAAATTAAAAATGTTAATAAAACAGATCACTTTAATACTACCAACAGCAACATAAATAGGTAGCACCATGGCTAACTAATATTATACAGCCCCATATATGATATAACAAGCTGGATTCTAACAAGCCAATAATGTAAACAAAAAAAATGTGAATGTCTACTTAAAAAATTGCTGATCAAAAAGGGAGCTAACTTGTTGACTTATTGTTGACTTCTCAGCATGTAAATTAACAACATACAATTTCATAGAATTTATCAGATGTTATTTTAATTCCTTAGACATGTTTTCAACCTGTTTTGCAAATGAATGCTATTAGGTAAATTTTCTACCTCATAGTACATTGTATTTAAAGATTAAATTATAAAGTTTGTTGCGATATTTTGTTTAACAAAAATGGTTAACAAATGTGTTGCATTTGGCTGTTCTAGTGGATATGTTACTAACAGTGAAAAAGTATCGACATTTTCTTTTCCTCTTGGAAATTTTGACCTTGTAGAAAAATAGATGAAATTTGTTAATCATATTGATTGGTTTCCTATGAAAAATTTAGTTCTCTGTATGAAACATTTTGAAGAGAAATTTATTTTGAAAGGAAAAGGAAACAAACTGAATTGGGATTTACATTCAATACCTACAATTCATTCAGAAAAAAAATAAGAAAACCGTCTCTTTTGCCAAATACAAGAGAATTCAGAAAGCCCCCAAAACAACAACTGGTCCAAACTGATGAATTACATGATTTTATTTCAGTTGATACAATAAAGGATTTTACTCAATTTTAAGATGCAAAGTGTTGTCCTAAAGGTTTCAAATTTAAAAAATAAGGTAGATTATATTCTAATTTATAGAATAGTCTTTGACCCTGAAACGCATTTTTCAACTAAAAAAGAAGATATTCACATTGACCAAAACTTTCATGTTCAGCTCCAGTGTGATGGAACCCCTATACCATTACCACAGTGGTTTATACATGGACAGAAACCTAAACTCACAAGATTTAGCATGTTAGAAAATTTTCCAGACTACATACAAAACATGGTGGAAGAACACCCATACTCAATTCTAAAAGAATTATAAAAGACATTACCAACGAAGAGGTCATTCTTCAATTTCTGCAGAATATGTTATGTTGTACTACTGTGCTATGCATCTCAACAAGCCTACAAATTACTTCTGGA